AAGCAGGCCTGCCTCCTGGCCTCCCCGCCTCCAGGACCGGGCAGATGCATGTCTGTTGTTTCTACGGTGTTCATTCTCTATTCGGACTGTTCCACACTCGGCTGATTCATTCTCCAGTTGGTGGACTTTGAGTTGGAAATACCAGTTTTGAGTTATTATGAATAAAATTGCCACGGACATGACGCCCAGGTCTTCGTGGGTACAGATGTTTCCTCTTCTCTTGGGGAGCGTCCCCAGGAGTGGGATTGCTGGGTTGTAGGCAGGTGTATGCCAAGCGGTTTTCCAAAGCAGGCGTACAAGTGCACGCTTCTGTCGCCCCGCGTCGCAGCCTCTGCTTGCCTCTTGTTGGCACTTGGTACCGTCAGCCATGCACCGCGGCCACTCTGATGGCTGTGGCCGTATCTCTGGGGGCTTTAATTTATGTTTCCTGATGACAGTGCTGCTGAGCACCTCCCTGGGCGCTACCTGTCCACTTAGATAACTTTTGTAAGCCAGGTGCCTGGTCTAGTCTATTCCTCAATTTAGTTGTATTGGATTCTTTGTCCTTATTGGTTCATAGGAACTTTTTATACATTCCATGCACAAGTCCTTTTCAGATGGACGTGTTACAAATATTTCCTCCTACTCCACAGCTCCCTTTCACCCTCTTCGTGGAGACTTTGATGAGCACAAGTGTCATGTCAGTGACCTTTGGTTTATCAAGTTTTTTCCTGTGGCTTTTAGGCCTGAGACATCTGCGTGCCTTGAGGGCGTCGGTGTTTTGCATGCATGTTTTTAGACGCTCTACAGTCTGGTGCTCCCCGTTAAGCCTGATTCATCCCAGCTATTGTGTGTGAGGCGTGAGCGACAGCTAAAGGTCCCCTGTCCGTGCGGCGTCCACCTGCTGCTGCACCCCTGTGAGGGGCTTCCCGTCCCGGCGAGCGCTGGCACCTTCAGCAAACGCCAGCCAACCGTGTGTGCATCGTGGCGGCTCTGGCTCCCCATCCTGCTCCGTTCACACGTTTCTCCATCCCGACCCACCGACACTGCCTGTCTGGTTTTCATTTCATTTACTTTTGTGATTACGGGAATTATTTTGCTTAATAAACTAAATCATTTTACTTACTATAGAAACCTCCGCACCATGGTAATGGACAGAGCGGTTCTCCATTGACAGCTGTTCACCTCTGCAATTTCCCTACTGTAGACACGCGTGCGTGTCATGTTCTTGCTCATCCAGGGGCATGAAGGATGGCGCGTGCAGGGGCTGCGGCAGGCGGGGCTGCGAGCTGCTTGCATGTCTTTGTTTTGGTGGAGGCTCCAGATTGCCTTCCACAGGGTGTGGGGAGAGGGGTGCCTCCCAACCCCTGTTTGCACCTTTTTAGGTTTTCCTTCTTCTCTGGAGTGGTAGTGCCCCCACCTGGTGCTCCCCCTTGCTCCTTCCTTGTCCTCCTCCTCCTCTGTGCTCCCCAATCCTCCTCTCCTGTGCTCCCCCTCCCCCTCCCCCTGTGCTCCCCATCCCTCTCCTCCCCTGTGCTCCCCCCTCCTCCCCCCATGCTCCCCCATCCCCCTCCTCCTCTGTGCTCCCCCCTCCTCCCCTGTGCTCCCCATCCCCCTCCTCCCATGTTCTCCCCCCTCCTCCCCCATGCTCCCCCATCCCCCTCCTCCCCCGTGCTCCCCATCCCCCTCCTCCCCTGTGCTTCCCCATCCTCCCCCTTTGCTCCCCCCTCCCCCCCTGCGCTCCCCCTCCCCCTCC